AGTAGGGGCGTGATCAAGTTGTTTACAGCATTCTTGTGAGTTTCAACCTTACTCAACTACATGCACCTGAACTCTAGCACAAGGCACGTGGGGCCACATGTTTGGACCATAGGTTCAAGCTTACAACCATAGCTGTTGGCTATAATTGTGCTGGGAGGGCCCTGCCCTCCAGCTGGGACTTGCACGTGACAATGAGAGGACCCTGTCCTTTCATTAGTCCAAGGCTTGAACCTGGCCAAAACACTGTAGCTGCGCCCCATACTAAACAAGTCCCAAACAGAAGATCAAGTGCAAGGTTTGCTGCTTTTAAATACAGAATGACAAATACAGATATGACTTCATGGTTTTTTTAAAATATATTTTATTAATTTTTTACAGAAAGGGAGAGGGATAGAGAGTTAGAAACATCGATGAGAGAGAAGCATCGATCAGCTGCCTCCTGCACACCCCCTACTGGGGATGTGCCCGCAACCAAGGTACATGCCCTTGACCGGAACCTGGGACCCTTCAATCCCCAGCCCGATGCTCTCTCCACTGAGCCAAACCTGTCAGGGCTCATGGGTTTTTTGGGGGGGTTTTTTGGTGGCAGGGAGACACCTAGGTGGTCTTGAATATATATATCTTGTCTTTTTTCTGCATGGGTTGGGGTCTAAACAGAAGCTCAGCTTGGTGGAATCACAAACCTGAGGGTATGGGGCTTTGTTAGCCAAGAGCTCTCATAGAACCAGGGTGCTCTACTGACATTCTGTCTTTTCCACAGTTACATTGTATAATATAACCAAGTCCTATAAAATTAAAATCAAGATTGAAATAGGGTTTGTTAATTACAGTATTTAACTGTTGTCGTTATTGTTTCCTTGGAGATTAATGAGGTGAGTTATTGTAACATAATTAAGCTACAGTGTAGCTAATCTCTTACAAACCCTTGCAATTCACTGTTGTTCCAGTATCGTTTGAAGGTTAATTTTACTTTGCTGGTATAGACTTGCCAATGCGCTATCTATTGAAATATGTTTTTAATTATATTTGAAAGTCATTAGTCAAGGACTCTGCTGGGCTGTTCTGCACATGCTTGCCATGGAGAAATCCAGATACAATTAGACTCATTACAGTCATCCATCCCAATGCCCAGGTGCCCCCAGGGCATTGAGGGGAATCACTGACAGATGGTACACACAAACTGCTTTGGGCCTCAATCTGGTTCCAGCCAGGATTCTTTGTTAGTGGAATATTTGGGGAAAGTCCCCACCGTGGCATTAGATATGGGGGCCAGCATCCAAAGTGGATTCTTAAGTGACTGACCGCAGATGTGGACTTTCTCAAACACACCTAGGTCTTAGATCTTTCGCATCTTAAGGCTCATGGATACCTTTCATGCTTAGAATATCCCTTATCTGGCTTAGGACTCATCATTCATCAGGTCTCAGCTTAAATATCACTCCATCCAAAGAGTCTTCTAGGATCCACCTCTCCCTTCCACCCCCTATCAGCTCTCCTGTTATCAGCTCTCATTTTGCCCCGGGTTTTCCTGTGTGGAACTTATCACCTTGTGCAAGTGCACATCTTTGATTACCTGTTTGTTTCCCTCCTCATAATGTAGAGGATCTGTTTGCTCACTACCGTCTTCACAGCTCTTGGCACACAGAAAACCCTCAGGTGTGGTGGTGGAACGAACAACTTGCTAATCTCCGACAGCCTACCTCAGTGGTCGGCAAACTACGACCCCTTGAGTGTGGCTCTTCCACAAAATACCATGTGCAGGCGTGCACATACAGTGCGTTTGAAACTTCATGGCCACACTCAAGGGGCCAAAGAGCCGCATGTGGCTCGCGAGTTGCAGTTTGCCGACCACTGGCATAACTGGCAAGAGAGCCAGCCTTAGCTTTGCAACTCTTCTTTTCACTCTAGTTTCATCCATGCTGAAGGTCTGGACACTCCTCACCTCACCCGTCCTCCTGCCTCAATTCACTCATCTGCCATGTGGGGAAGCACACGGGATCTTCCTCAGAGGGTATGTCTTGAGACAGCAGTGACCATCACAAGGCAGATAGTCATCAAGGGCCATTTTCTCATTTGTCTGCTGTATGAGGGACTTGGCCTGGTGGTGTCTGAGGCCTGACTTCTAAGGTCCTCAATCTGAGATGGAACAGGTGGCTGACAGCTATGGAATAGATAATGGGAATGGTAGCCATGGACTTCTCAAATCAGAAGTTTGGCACCAGACTTGGCCTTGCTCTTTTGGTTTCTCTAAGGCAGTAGTTCTCAACCTTCCTAATGCCGCGACCCTTTAATATAGTTCCTCATGTTGTGGTGACCCCCAATTTCATTGTTACAAATTGAACATAATTAAAGCATAGTGATTAATCACAAAACAATATGTAACTATATATGTGTTTTCCGATGGTCTTAGGTGACCCCTGCGAAAGGGTCGTTCAACCCCCAAAGGGCTCGCGACCCACAGGTTGAGAACTGCTGCTTTAAGGCAAAGCAGGTCCTATAGGGGCACCTATTTAAAGAACGCAAAACAAGTAAGATATTTCACAATGGCTTCCATTTTTTAAAGTGACTGCTGCTTACAAAAGCATTTTGGAGGAGACTATGTTGGTTGTAAGCAGGCCAGAGCAATTCCTTGTTTTGTTAACTCCCTTGTCTAAGATATCTTAAGGTAAATTCCCATCATTAGGTACCCCCATTCTCCCATAACCACATCAAAATTACAACTTAACTACAGAACAACCATCACTCAGAACCATCTGAAATCTAGCAGAATGGAAATTCTACAAGAAGGGATTTAAAGAAGCTACATCAAGACTGGTAGGAGGGGCAGAGACTCAAAACAGGCTGGTTCCCCATCCACCTGTGTTGACTAAAAACCAGGAGGAATATTTCCTGTGGAGGTCCTGCCTGAGGAGCTAGGGGTCCCAGCCCCACACCAGGCCCCACATCCCAATTTCAGGGCCAGCCTCATAACTTCTGGCTGTAAAAACAAGGAGGGATTGTGGCTGAATGAGAGAGAGGTTGCTGGAGTCCCAGGCAGTTCCTCTTAAAGGACCTGCACATGGGTTTACTCAGATTCACTCTCTCTGAGCTCCAGCACCAGGCAACAGCTCAAAAAGGACCAGGGGCATATGGGGAGGGACTGAATTGTCTGGCTTTAGGGCAAGGGCTGGGAAGGGGGCAGCTTTCTCCAAGACAAAAGTGGTGGCAGAGGCCATAGTTCCTTTTCTGGACTCTCCCCACTACTTCCCCAGAGCCAGCAGGTAGCACCATATCTGAGTCTCCATCAACCAGGCTCACACTGTTTGCCCTGCCCTAGTGATTCTGTGAGACCCCACCCCACCCAGCCTGCAGGCCCACCCAAGCTGTTTCCAGTGGCTTTTCCATGCAAATGACTTGTCTTGGCTCATGCTTCAGACTTTCCTAAAAGCTCTCAAACAAGCAGCATCTGGCTTCAGCATACCCTGTTTCTCATAGTAAGTGGCCCAGGCCTGGCACTAGCAGCAGCTGGCCTTGATTTGCAGCTTGGCCTTGCTTGGGCACCTCCAAACTCAGCATAAATAGCAGCCATCTCCAGATCGCTTTGTAGTCATGCTGGATGGCCGTGGACAGAACATTGGTGGTGGCTGACCTTGGCCTGCACCTTTAGGGAGGCCCCATAACCAGGCACCTGAGTCACAGCTTCAGATTATGTCAAAGCACCACCCAAATACCTCCACAAGTGACACACTCAATGGGCAGGCAGTAGGTCCCAGAGGAGGCCTGCAGAAGTAAGTCCTTCTTTGTAGGGTGGGCCCTGCACAGCTCATCCTCCACATGGTCAATGTTTGGAGGTTGTTGGTCATAGCCTGTCCTTGTAACCAAGGGGTAAATCCCTCCTATTGATGTGCCAACAGCAACCAAGTCTCAACTACAACAGGAGGGTGTGCACAACCCACATGTCACCCAATGCCCAGCTTGGGTGATCTGGTAGGCTGTGCCTCTGGATCCTACAGAACACCTATTATATTAGGCCACTCTATCAAGCCTGGGAGATGTAGCAGTTCTACCTAATACAAAGAAACAAACACTGGAATGGTGCCAAAATGCAGAGACAAAAAAAAAAAATGTCCCAAATGAAAGAATAGAACAAAACTCCAAAAAGAACTAAACAAAATATAGACAAGTAATGTACTTGATGCAAAATTCAAAACACTAGTTATAAGGATGCTCAATGAACTTAGTGAGAACTTCAACAGCATAGATAAAGGACACGGAAACCATAAGAAATAACCAGTCAGAAATGAATGATACAGTAACTAAATGAAGAAAAATTTGCAGGAAATCAACAGTACAATTGATTAAGGTGAGAATCAAATCAGTTGTTTGGAAATAATAAAGCAAAAAAACACCCAATCGTAACAGCAAAAAGAAAAAATAATCCCCCTAAGTGAGGATAATGTAGGAAGCTTCTGGGACAACTTGAAGCATACCAACATTTGCACCATGGGGTTGTGGAAAGAAAAGAGAGAGAACAAGAAATTGAAAAGCTATTTGGAAAAAAAAAATAATGATGGGAAAATTCCCTAACCTGGTGAAGAGAATAGACTTGCAAGTCCAGGAAACGCAGAGAGTACCAAACAGGATGAACACAAAGAAAGACACACCAAGGCATGTCATAATTAAAATGCCAAAGGTTAAAGACAAAGAGAAACTCTTAAAAGCAGGAAGAGAAAAGCACTTAGTTATCTGCAAGGGAGCACCCATAAAACTGTCATCTGATTTCTCAGCAGAAAACAGAAACTTTGGAATACATTAGAAGCCAGGAAATAAACCACTGAAAATGATTTTTTTTTTTTTTTTTTGGTCTCACACTTCATTTAATCTGAAGAGTATTACAGGCTCTCCGTCCTCTGGTATAAGTTATAACGTTACAGAACAAGCAGTGAATTCAACCATTTAAACACTAAGTAAGTCTACACGTTGTTACTGTCTGGTTTCCTAAAGGAGTCACCCGCCCCATTTCAATAGACGTGCACCACGCCATGCAGTGGTTCTCAACCTGTGGGTCGCGACCATCGGAAAACACATATAGCATATCAGATATTTACATTATGATTCATAACAGTAGCAAAATTACATTTATGAAGTAGCAACGAAAATGATTTTACGGTTGGGGGGTCACCACAACATGAGGAACTGTATCAAAGGGTCGCGGCATTAGGAAGGTTGAGAACCACTGCGAGGAACGTCCAGAACAGGACATAGGTGAAGAGGCCTCCGATGAGGCCTCCCGTGAAGAGAGGTCTTCGGGACTTAAAGTATCTGTTCCACCTCCTGCCCGCCTTGAGGATGAGGAGCAGGGAGAGCAGGATGGAGGCGAGCAGGTAGAGGCCGGTGAGGCCGAGGATGCCGGCCATGGCCCCCGCGCCAACACCAAGGTCCAGGACCACGGCGTTGCCTCGCACGGCTGCCTCACTGATGAACGGCGGCCCTTCCCACTTGGCCACCACCAGGGCCATCGCAGCCCGGGCGCTCGGCCTCTGCTTTCCCGTGGAGCTGGAACAGGGTCGCAGTCCCTTGGCCTCCACAGTCTGCGGTACAGACCCCCGCGGCGCCATCTTGCCCCAGAGCCTGCTGGGAGGGCCCAGGCTGCGCACGCATCAAGACCGAGCTCCCGCCCTCTAGCGCATGCACCTCGGGGCGCCCTGAGCAGGATTCTTGATAACTGATCCTCACACAGGGCCTGCAATAGCGACCTTTACTATCAGCCAGACTAGAAAACCTCTAGATGCACAGGCATTGAATCATTTACGTGGAAGGGTCTTGCTGCAGTAGTGAGGAACAGTTAATTAACCATACAACATGGTATAACATCATTTGGCCATGTACCATCACAGGGAACTGCTCTGTTTATTTCAATCAAATCTTAAAAAGGACCCCAAAGAATCAAACTCTTTCCAAGCAACATAACAGTATCCAAAAAAAGGAAATAGTATTTGTAAAAAAGGAAATGGATAGTGAACAACACATGGGTTTTAAATAAAGACAGGATCAGTAGTAGAGTGCTGATCTACCCTTTGCCCTCGGACTTTAATATGGCACTGTTTTTCTGATTATTGTTGAAAATGTTACCTTAAAAGATAATTGATCTTGATTTCTGAGGGTTTTTTTTGGGTGCCACGTTAAGTTGTATACCCAATGCCTCACTCACCTCACCCATATTTGGGCAAATATCAAAACCTGAGGGCTGTGAGTAGTAAGAAAAAACACACCTCTCACAAGCTCCCGCCTTTCAATTCCTAGCTATAATTTACCGAGGAGAAATGAAAGTACTTGTATGAAGATATGAACACTTGAAATATCCGTGGCCCCTTGATTTCCAAATAGCCTCAAACTGGAATCAATCCAAAAGTCCATCAAAAGATGAATGGGTAGCTGAACTGTGGTGTGCCCATACACGGGAACAGTTCTCTACCACAAACAGGAATGCAACCTTGCAGGCCATCCCGGGACAATGCAGGCTGTGCAGGGGCGCGTGCTCACCCGCCTCGGGAAAGAATAAGAGCGCGGCCGCAACCGGCAACGGTCTCCTAGCGACTGAGCGGCAGGGACAACAAACCACTGAGGCCCCTGGTCGCCCTGGGTCAAGGGCGCCATGGCGGGCCAGCAGTGGCCCTTACCGGAGCCCCACAAAAGGTGGCTGTTAAAGTCGGACCTGAGGAAGAAGGCGCTCATAGAGTCGGGGCTGATCAAGCGGTGGCTGTCAGGGCCGAAGCTGGACAAGAAGCCGGAGCTCAACAAGAAGTGGCTGCTGGGACCGGGGCCGCTAGAGCCCTTGCCCCTGGGCATGAAATGTAAGCCCTGGTTCAAGGACAGGGACAAGTTGCCTTCCTGCTATTTCTCCAGGCAGAACAACAAGCTTGGGAAGTGCCCCACCTCCATGGACAGCCGGCGGTGGGTATTTGTGAAGGAGGGAGTGGATGACTTCAGAACAGGCTGTCCATCTACTGAAGATGTGATCATTCGTCGCCCTCAGGAGGGCTTTCTACCCATGATTGCTCATAGAATTCCTCGCCCTCCACCCAAAAAATTTCACAGGCAGCAGCCTAAGGGAGCAGACCTGTGTTCCAAGCTCTCACTAGCCCAGCAAGCACGGAAGGCCTTTGTAGAGGACATTGAAGCCAGCCTGACCCAGCATCCCTTGGCGAACTGCCCGAATCTGGAGGAAGATCTCCCTCCAGACCTCCTCCTCAAGGTGCTGGAAGTGCTAGATCCTGACAGGGAGCTGGAGGACACGTGGGCTTATTGTGAGGGTGCCAAGGAAAGACAGAAGGCCCCCACACACCCGTGTGAAGAACATCCTGAGGAGGTCAACCTGGAACCTCCTGGGGCACTGAACCTGGAACCTCCCCAGGCAGTCAACCTGGAATCACCCTGGAAATTGAAACTGGAACCTCCCGAGGAGGAACCTGAAGAACAAGCCCACGTGGAAACGGCCAAGGAGAGTCTCCTGTCATATTTATTCAGTTTGTTTCCAAAGGAAGACGCAAATGCAGCAAGCATAACAGATATCCCCAAAGATCCTGTTTTCCAAAAAGCAAGAAGAACAATTCGTGAATTCTGCAGATGGATCGATGATAAATTTGGAGACATAGGCATTGATGAAGAGTCCATCATGAAAAAGTTTGAAATTGACTTTGAGGGCCCACTCACCCATAATACAGTCAAAATAAAGAAAATAAACCAGCTTCCTTCAAATATAAGGCCCTGCAAACAGCTAGATGAAATAAAGCAGAGAAAATTCTCCCTGCAGGAAGATGACTGGGAAAGGAAACTCCGCAAACGACAAGACCCTTATAGACCCAAACGGGAGAAGATAAGGTATGGAGCATGGTACCTGGACCCCAAATGCTGGAAAAAGCTGGTCAATGACCAGCCTTTTCCTAACCCTAAAGCCGTCCATGACAGGGAATATTGGACCTATCGAAGGCATCTTGAACCAGACGTTATTGATGAACTTTATGGACCAATTGCCTTCAAAGATTTCATTGTAAGCAAGGGCTACAAGATGCCAAGTGTGATTGAGAAGATGTTTTTAAGGAAGGGATGGAAATATGAGTCTGTAAAGACTCCTATACACCGTGTAATGAAACTCCTCTCCAAATCCAAAGAGGATGATTCAGGGGATGAAAAGGATTAGACAATTTTATATTTACTACTCACTTGGCTAGTGTCTCTCTCTCTCTCATTTTAACATCAGTCAGAATTCACCATGAGTGCCTCACTGTGTATGGACAACTTTGATTCCACAACACCTATAAATTTAACACCTAGTGCTAATAAAAATTTCTAAATGAAAAAAAAAACAAAACAAAAAACAATACAGAAACTTTGCAGGCTAGAAGAGGTTGACAAGAAATATTCATTTATGAAAAGCAAGGATTTACAATCAAGATTATTTTACCCAGCAAAGCTATCCTATCCTATATACTAAAACCCAGCGACCAAAATGGTGGAACGACCAGAACGACCAGAGACCAGAACACCACGGCCCCTAGCCCAGGCTGGCCCCGCCCCCCCCCCCCCCCCCAGGGAGCGGTTAGGGGTGCCCCTAAGCAATGCAATAGGGTGTGAGTTTGATAGGGGAAAGTCAAAGAAATAGGAGGGAAGGTCTTAAGGGACTGTGGGGTTGGGGTGGTCAGCCTGGAGTAGGTTTGGAGTGTTCTGGGGAAGGAAGAGGAAGATCTGATTGGAAAATGGCTCAGCACAGTACCTTTCTCGTTGTGAACCAGGATGGCACCAGCCATGGACTGAATGGGTGGTTGTTTCATGAGTGCACTTGGAACCGACATGTTCATGGCAGTGGCAGTACTCCTGAAACTTCACTTCCAAATAGTAAACAGCTATCAACGTCAAAGAACAGAAAAATCCTCTCCAACTAGAGGCCCTGGACATTGCAATGGGACTGAAGGAAACACCACTTAAGGAGGAGCTAGAAAAACCAGAAGTATGTGACCAGAGGATTGTGGCATTGTGGAGGACGCCTGGGCGCCTACTGCTAGAATGTGAGCCTATTATTGTGCATGTACATAGTCAGCCCTATAGTCCTCAGTCTCACAGTATTTGGACGTGACTTCTGGCGGGAAATTATTTCAATTGAGATTTGCTGTTCCCTTGAGGTGAGGAAGATTGGAATTAAAGGTTTCGTTTATTACCTTGGTTTGAAGCAGAGGAAAATGGGATAGTGACGAATAAGAAACTTTGGAGATAGTGAAGGGCAGTTTGTCCAGACTGTTGAGAGCTCAGAATTAGAGTTTAATTGGGATTAAAATCCTGCTAATAGCACCTGATCCTTGAAATCTGAGCACTCTACTTTTAGGTTTTCCAGTCAAGTTTTTGGAGACTGCCTATTAAAGCATTCCTGGTTGGAAAGTGTTTGTATAGAAGCCCGTAAGTTTTAAGTATTTGCTGTATTTACCATGCTTTGCTCTCTGTAAGGAAAATGGAATAATATTAAATGCCTCATGTTCTCCAGAAGTTTGAATTTTAAAATAAAAAATAAAGAAGAAATATAAATATTAAATATAAAACAGAAGAAGCTTGAGTTTTAGGGGCAATCAGACAGGCAGGCTAGCAATTAGGGGCGATCAGGCTGGCAGGCGAGTGGTTAAGGGCAATCAGGCAGGCAAGCAGGCAAGAAGTTAGGAGCCAGTGGTCCCGGATTGCAAGAGAGATGTCTGACTGCTGGTTTAGGCCCGATCCGCAGTGGGATCGGGCCTAAACCAGCAGTCGAACATCCCCCAAAATGTCCTGGATTGTGGGAGGGTGCAGGCCAGGCTGAGAGACACCCCCCCTCAACCCCCATGCATGAATTTCGTACACTGGGCCTCTAGTCATTTATAATCAAAGAACATATAAAGAACTTTCCAGTCAAGAGAAAACTAAAAGAGTTCATCACCACCAAACCAGTATTACATGAAATGTTAAAGTGTCTTCTTTAAGAAGAAGAAAAAAGTTAAAAATATGAACAATAAAATGGCAGTAAATGCATACCTGTCAACAATTGAATCTAAAAAAACTAATTAAATAAACAAACAGAAGAGAAACAGATTCATATATACAGAGATCATTTGACAGTTGCCAGATGGGAGGGGATTTGGGGTAATGAGTGAAAAATGTGAAGGGATTAAGAAGTACAAATTTGTTGTTACAGAATAGCCATTGGGATGCAAAGTATAGCACGGGGAATATAGTCAATAATATTCTAATAACTGTGTATGGTGTCAGATGGGTGCAAGATTTATTGGAAGTTGTATAATGTTAATCATTAGAGTGTACACCTGAAATTAATATAGTGTGTTAACTGTAATTGAAAAATTTTTTAAAAAAGATTTAAATTTCAAAAAAAAAGATAAATCCCCATCACCAAGGAGCTCTCTGTGGGACTCTCCCTTGAGCCACAGGAATGACAATATGATTTCCACTTTCCACCCAAGGATGCTTGTAAAGGCAATTTGAA